GGGAGAAGCGGGCGGCGGGGGTCCGGCGGTCTATGGGGGCCGAGACGGGGGAGGAGAGCTTCCCGGTGCCCCCGACCGCCCCCCTTGGCCTTCCCGAGCCCGAGTCCTGGTCCAGGGGCTGCCCAGATCCCCCTCGAGTTCCCCCCCGTCGGCTCTTCCCCAAAGGTGCCCAGACCCCGCTTTTCCCTCGGGGTCCCGGGCCAGCCCGGGAGGGGGCTGCTCTCCGGGGCACCCGCTGCCGGGGGGGGGGTGTCTCCGCCTTCCCCGGGTGGCAGCAGCGCCGCCCGCGTTGCCAGGGTGGCCGGGACGTCAGCAACGCCAAGCTCCCTCCTGTGAAAGGGGCGCCACGGGGAGATCCAGCTCCCCCGCTTTGCCGGCACCGTGGAAACGAAGCAAGCGGCGCGAGCGAATTAACCAGTGGAACCACCTGCCTCCAGAAGCGGTGAATGCTCCAACACTGGAAGTTTTTAAGAAGAGACTGGACAGCCATTTGGTATATATGGTATAGGGTTTCCTGCCTGAGCAGGGGGTTGGACTAGATGACCTCCAAGGTCCCTTCCAACTTGGCCCCGCTAAACGCGCCACTCGTGGGACAGGGGCAAGGCAACGTCAGTACTCTGGACTTCAACTCCCAGAATCCCCCAGGAAGCCAGTCTGATTCGGGGCCTCCCAGGGTAAGGGCGGGGGCAGGGTCTGCTATCCGCCTTCTGGAGCGCCCCCCCTCGACCCCACCCCCACCCCCTGGTTCCCAGGGCCCCTTCTCATTCCGAAGAGACCCTAAAACCCAGCCCAGCCTGCTGAATTTCACTGGTGGCCTGGAGGAGGGGGTGCGGGGGGGGGGCTGGGGGTGGATGCAGATATTGCAGGTTTTCCTGGTTGCCCCCCCTCCTTTCTCATACGACAAGGCCCCCTTCAAGGGAGAAGGCGGAAATTCTGCTGAGGGGTCTTCGACTTACTAGCCAAAGAGAAACCCCTGTTGCCCCCCCCCCACCTGTTCACAGTCTGGGGGTGTTTGAGCCTAGGATTAGGTCTGCGTATCCTGGCATAGGAGGAAGGAGCAATGGACCGGGACGGGCAGAGGCGGGTATGATGGGACCCTGGGAGCGGCCTTCATTTGGAACGTCATTGAAGCTGCGCATGCCTGAAGATGGCGGACGTCTGTACGTAGCTCCGCAGTAGTGGAGACCGAAATGGGCAGAGGGGAGCCTTGGAGGCCCCCCGAAGGTCTGGAGACCCGTCCCCAGTCAGATTTCTCCCCGGTGAGTTCCCCGGGACTGGATTTGGAATGCGAAGGGACGCGGGGGCGCGGAGCCGACCGGGTAGCTGTTTTGTCGGCTTTCCCGGCCTTTCCGTCCCTCGGCGCCCTCGCTGGCGGTTTCGTCTCTCGGCCTCGGCCTCGCTGGCGGTTTTTCCAGCGACCGGCGGTTTCTCCAGCGACTGGCGGCCCCTCGGCCTCGGCCTCGCTGGCGGTTTCGTCCCTCGGCCTCGCTGGCGGTGTCGTCCCTCGGCGGCCTCGCTGGCGGTTTTTCCAGCGACCGGCGGTTTCTCCAGCGACTGGCGGCCCCTCCCGGCCTCGGAGACATTCCTGGCGACCTCGGCGGTCTTCCCAGCGGCCCTCTCGAACCTGATGGCCTCTTCGGCGGCCTCGGCGGCCTCGGCGGCCTCTTTAAGAACTCCAACACATCATTATACACATATTGACTGCGGCCCGTATAGCATATGCGCAATGTTGGAAGAGTGAAAATATTCCCACAAATGATATGATTATGTATAAAATTTTGGAATGCGCAGAAATGAATAAACTTACGTTAGAACTAAAAGATAAGGAGATGTCAGAATTTTATGAAATTTGGAATAAATGTTATAATTG